GCCCTTTGGGCCAGCTCTCCTCAGGAGCTGGGGCCTTCGTTATTCAATCGTGCAGTGGCAGTCTGGGAACAGTACTATCTGCTACCTCCTACTGCTTCTGCCCGGCCTCAACAGGATAGGTATCAACTGCTGCGGTATCAAAGGGGCTACAAGCTAATCAGGATGGTCTCAATCTTCGTACTATTTTCTTAACTATGTGGAAAAGGACGATCCTTTCTTGCTGCTTTGCTGGAGATAAGCCAGCTGTGGGTGCTGGAGCTGTAGGCCAGCATAGCTGTTGGAGCAATCTCTGACGGGATCCAGAGCTCTCGCTCCTAAAAGTTATCGCTCCCCACGAGTGCGTATGGATCCGCTCTCATGGAATGCCACGATATACGATTAGTTCTAACTAACTACAATACATACTCTCCCCATGCAACGGGGTCCAGCAGAGAGCTCTGCTGGCCCTCCTGTCTGACTGACAGGGCCAAGTCCTTGGTTTGGTGCCTACTGGAGGTGTTGGAATACTCCTGAGGCACGACAAGGCTCCCTGAACTGCCTGACTACCGCTGTACCTGAGGAAGGGTTTCAGCGAGACCCAGTCCACTACTTCGGTACTGGAACTGAACCTTCAAGAAACTTATTGCATGTTGACGTGGATTTGTGGCGAGGAACCATGCAACGAGCGACAAAGTTGCGCAAGGACTCCACAGACCCCTTCCTCCTGGAAATTGTTCTTGATGGGCTTCAATATCACTTTGAAGATCGATTCCTCCACCCGTGGCATTACCCAGAACGGTATAGGGATCTTGTTGACGCTCAAAATCTCATTGGTTGGGATAATTTCCTGAGAGGACGTTTGTCCAAGCACTGGGCCAAGCACCAAGATGCCTATTTGCATCGAGTCGGCTCCAAGGAGACCACCAAAACCGGGCAGCTTTGGGTCACCAACCTGGCTTCTGTTCTGATCCAGCAGTGGTGGAATCTCTGGGAAGACCGCAATGCCGCCAGGCACGGCCGGGATCAGGAACAGAAATGGCGCAAGAAACACGAACAGCTCCAAAGAGAGGTTGAGCTCCTGTATGAAAAAGCGGACCTGCTCCCAGAGCATCTCCTTGATACTACCATCTTCAAACGACCCCTGGAGGAACAGATGGCCAAAGGGCCGGGAGATATCAAAGCATGGCTGGCCAATTGGCTTCCAGTTGTTGACAAAGCATGAGGGATGAGCATGCACGCGAGCAGCCTTCCCAATCAGGGTAACTATGCGCCGATGTGGGATTCCCATAGCAATAGCGGGCCAGCTGCGGAGCTTTCCTTCACCATAGAAAGCACTCTCCACTTCATGATTAAATAAAATGAATTGGCTATGCGAGGCTAACAGTGGATGTTGAGGAAGCAGGAGTGTGTTTGAATTGATCTGAGTGCATGCCTGCCTCGATTGTTTCCCTCGTTTCAACCAATGCATTTCCACCGAAAGCCCCAAAGTGCCGCCAATGGTTGGAGTCGAGTCGACTGTCTATTCGCACACTCACATTCTAGTCTCACTTCTTGCTCTCACTCCTCAAGCAATCATGTCGTCCAACAACAACAAGCAACAACAAGCAACAACAAGCAACAACAAGCAACAACAAGCAACAACAAGCAACAACAAGCAACAACAAGCAACAACAAGAAACAACAAGCAACAACAAGCAACAACAAGCAACCACAAGCAACAACAAGCAACAACAAGCAACAACAAGCAACAACAAGAACAGGGAAACGGCAACAACTAAGGTAGCGATATCAGCACCATAGCTTGGATTTAACAATGACAATGATGTAAATGGTACTTTCAGTGGGCGCCATTCGGCAGACCATGTTCCACCGTTCACGGATATTCTTTGCTTGTTGGAGAGTCGAGTCTTTGGTTGCCAGGAATTCCCTGTGGAAGAATAAAGCGTTGGTGCGTCAGCCAGGAGCAAGCTATAGTAAGATATTTTTGGGGTTCGAGTCGAGTCCTCCCCATCCGCAACGGTTCCCACTATTTGCAAGATACTTTAGTTAAGTTCGCACACAGTTATAGTTTAATATATATACCGGGCAGACCCCGGTGATCTCTGACCCTGTTTATTGTGGTGGTGGTTGGTTGGTTGGTCGGTCGGTCGGTCATCCTTAGGGTTAGAGTTCTCATAAAATTGGACTTCAGCCCCCCGCCACTGCACCCCCCAAAGTTTCTTTATTGATTGTTTTGCATTGCTACTGTACTCCATCTTCATACTTCTTTACTTTTCTTCCTTCCACTTGATTCCTCCAACAGACTTGGCTCCCATTATTTCTATGACACCTGTGTGGTGCCCTGATACCCGATTGTTGGGTATTTCTATTTTATCTTTGTACTTGTTCACTTCTCTTGCTTCCATTTCAGTCATCTAACGGACTCGCCCCGCATGTCTATAACACATGCGGTGCCTTAATTGTGGTAATGGTGGTGGTGGGTTTGGTTGGTAGGTTATCCTTAGGGTTAGAGTTTTACTTCAGCCCCCCCTTTCTCACGCATTCTCGTAATAATCATATGGTAGCAACAGATCACACTATTTTCCTCATGTTGCACACCTCTAAACTCCCGCAAGCTACCACGCCACTTTCTTAGACGGTAAAGTATAATGACTCACGTTGTACAACTCTAAACTCCCGTAAGCTACCACGCCACTTCCTCAGATGGAATATCTAATGATTCAAGTTGCACACCTCTAAACTCCCGTAAGCTACCACGCCTCTTTCTCAGACGGAAAAATCTAACGTCTCAAGTTGCACACTTCTAAACTCCCGTTAGCTACCACCCCTCTTTCTCAGACGGAAAAATCTAACGCCTCACATTGCACGCCTCTAAACTCCCGTAAGCTACCACACCACCTTCTCAGATGGAAAAATCTAACGTCTCATGTTGCACGCCTCTAAACTCCCGTAAGCTACCACGCCACTTTCTCAGACGGAAAAATCTAATGACACTACCTTCAGCCAAACTTCAACAATATTACTATGTCGGCCCATCTTTTAATTCAGCTCCCCGGTATATCTATTACACCTCCGGTGTCCTTTATATCTTCGCACCATTCACCAAGCAACTTTACGTTGATGATGTAAGTTGTAGAGAGCTTCATCCGAATGAGTTTCCGGGCAGCACTGCACCGTGGAGTGGGTGGTTGGTGGTTGCAAACTTGGAGAAACCTGCCAGCTTGGTGGAGAACCTTGCTGGAACCTTTGGACTTCTTCTGAATTACGTACAGCCATACTAGTAGCTTTGTTGCTGAGGTGGTAGACAAGGTCTTGCAGCATTAAGTCCACTTCCCGGTATGTCTGGCGGAATGGTTCAGCTTTGACAAGAATGCCAAAATCTATAAAACTTTTAAGACCTTCTTCCCAATCCCTTCGTAACTCGGTACATGTAGCAAGCAAGCTTCCGTAGGTAACTGCAAACTACCTTCCTACTCACTCGAGTATGCTGCATGGCCAGCTACTCGAGCATCTTTGTCTGACTAGCTAGCTCACTGTAAGAAGTGACGTTGTCCACTGGGAGACTGCAGCTATGTCATAGGTGAAATTGGCAGTTTCGACGTTTTGGCTTCCAAGCTTCCAAGACGGTGCGGTGCCAGCGTGCCAGCTCCACCCACCAAGCCAATTGTGCAATTGTGTCTGCTTGAATCACTACTACTAGTAGCTAGCATGACTGGTAGTACTAGTAGTTGCCATCTTTAACAGACAGGGGCAGTTCGCATAAAGCAAACTACTTCAATATTGACTCTTAAAACCTAATTCTGGTTTGATTGCCACCCTTCTTGCCTTTGGAATTCTTTGGCAATGACCGAGAACTTCAATTTTACTTATGGAACCAAGCAAGATACTGGAGTACCGGACCGTACCCAAGTAGCCCTCCTTCTTGCACGGTGTCTGACACCTTCTTTGATAGCGGAGTGTTGGAGGCTTTTAATGCGAAGAGAGGAGAGTTACGAGATCAGGCGTTCATGTACTAGCTCGTATGCTTGTGGCTGCGGATTAGCAGCCCTACGCACGGGTGGAAGTAGCGTTTGTGTGGATGTGCGTGAGAGGGGAGAGAGAATCTGAGTGAGGAAATGGTAGTTCGCTTTTGTAGAATTCAATCTGCTGTAGACTATTTTAAATAGCAAGAGGAAGAAAACTAAAAAAATTTAGGTAATGTTATGGAAGTAGAGGGTTGTTTATGTACACTAGCGACTTGCATACATGCTTCCTCAAGCTGCCTTTGGAGTCAAGGTTGGGGTGGCGAAAGATCTGCTGAGGCTCACAAGGGCCTGGCAGCAGTCGAGGCTGGCATTGTCCAAGCAGGCTGCTGGTTTGGATGTCTGGAAGCTAGAAGACACAACCGCACTTGCCACGGCCATGGCCTTGTTACCGGCGCCGTTCTCATTGTCAGAGTCAGAGTCATCATCTGAGGAAGTAGATGCGCTCGACTTGGAATCTCTGTTCTCGCGCAGTGCCTGGCTGGTTTTGATACGCGCCTCGGCTTTGCTAAGCACGTAGTAGCGACCGCTTGGAGCATCTTTCTTGACGAATCTTCCTCCGTATTCGTAGACTTGATCCACGATACTGCGGCTCAGTTCAGTCTTGTCGTCCTTGTCTTCGGTGTTCCTGTACTTTTGCTTCATCTCGTTGACAAGCTTTCGGTAAAGTTTGTTTCCAAGATGGTGATTGGCTTTGCCACCTGTAGTTTGGAGTCACAAGAAAGTTTGTGAGAAGACGTTTTAACGCATGCAGCCAGGACGCCAGGACATCAGGAAATCACACAGCGCAAGCTTACCTCTTCCACACATGACATCGAGCTCCGTAATCTCGGCAATGAAAGTCTTCTGGTTCTTCTTAGGCGCGGAGCACTCACGGAGGCATCTGCTGATCTTGTTTCTTGATTCAGCGGTGGTCATGATCCGAAGTTGACTTGTTGCCTCTTCCACACGAAGGAATCTACCTCCGTATCCTTGAATGTACTCGTGGACGTCCCTCACCATCTTCTTCTTGGCCGTCTTGGACTCCATGGCCGCGAAAGAGGCTCTCATCTTTTCCAAGATCTGTTGGAACCTCATATTGCCAGTGTGATTCTCCAGCCTGCGATCACCGCTGCAGAGGATGTCCCAGTTGAGGACTTTGTCCAAAGACACGTAGTTCTTTTGGTCCATGGTAGCAATGTTCATGACCGGAAGGGTTGAGGGTGCATTGCTGAGACCTGCAATGGGACGGGTCATCATCATATTGCTCATCATGGTGGGGATAAGGTTGGATTTGGAAAAGATGTTGGTTGCAGCGAAGAAGACCGGTTCGTTTTATGAAGTTATGGAGGTGCAAGATTGTGGTTCAGAGCACGACGAGTTTTTCGTGGCAAAGGTGTACGAACACTAAAAGGCAGTCATGGAGAAGAAGGCAGTGCTACAGCAAAACTGTACCAAGGTCACATGGAGATAATTTTTAGAGCTCTTTTTAAAAGAGTGGACTCCAAAGTCATTGAAGCACTCAGTCGATATGAAATTGCCAAGAATTCTTAGGGAAGGTTCACCACGTCAGAGCGAAAAACTTCTTTTCTTGTCGACTAGGCTTCTTTGGTTGAGGGTGGTATTGCCACGGTGTTGGTCCTCTTAACTCAATGCTTCACGAAGCAAGAAGCCGAAAAAATCAAAAGAAGCCCGCTTGAACACACCTAATTCTTGCAGACGACAGTGTATCGGCCTCATTAAATAAAAGGTGGCATTTGCTTAAACCACTTCTTGCCGATGTAAAAAACAGTACAAGTACTCCCAACAAAAGCAAGCTTGCACACAATCCTTCAATCCGTGGGTACCGGTACAGCACAACTCAACAGCACTTACTTGCTAGAGGTCTACCTCCCTTCTCTTTCCTGGGTGACTTTTACCTTTTTGCAAGGTGGCTAGCTACTAGGCATATTACGGAGCGCTTCAATGGTGCCAGTTCCTTCAACTTTCCCTGCGACCTTTTTGTCTTTTTCTAACTCTTCGAGGCTTCGAGGAACGACCACCATGAGTCATCGAAACGGTGACGGAATTGCCCTGTCATCACTAAGTCTTGGAACTCACCTGGTTGCCCCTAGCTTTGGCCATCGTGCCCTTTCCTTATGTTTGGGCTCTCACGCTCTCACCTCGCCTGACACGCGCCTCCGTCCCCCAGATGAGGACATAAAGGTATGAATTCGGCAGAAGAGTCTACGAACAGAGCTGGAATTGTCGATTTCGCTGGTATGAGCCAACGAGAACCCAACCATCACAGCTCTGTGCTCTGTGCTACGTGAGCTGCTACGTGCTACGGTAATACCAGTCTACTGTATGACTTTTTAGATGCTAATCAACTGGGAATGTTCCGGGGGGGTGCGAGCGAATTGTCAAAGCAATTGTCAACATTTCACCAATAAATTTTTATCGGCTCAAGCAAATGCTGCCAACAGCCTTTTTTTCGCCCATCGGTCGTCGGCGTATCTGGGCAGGAAAGTCTTGGCCTTGGAGCTGCAAGTCGCGTGCTTTTCCCAATATCCATCTTCCGTGCATACGACCACTACTGCCTTTTGCTTCCTCAAGGTCGTAAATGCCTTCGAAGGGCGTGCAAATAACTTTGACCATTTTCTGACACCTGTCCTTCCTTCCCGACCCAGTGGTCAGGTTCTTGTCTTTTGGCAGCTGCTACCTTCGTGCTAGATCGCTGCTGCTCGAGCCTTATTAAGGTAGTGTATCAACGATCAGTTGGTGCTCGACGTTCGATCATCGATGAACGCACCTCACAAGCCTAGCACACATCACTTCGTTGAGGTGATTTAGCCTTGGTTTGGCTGGAGGTAGTGCGGCAAAATTCTTTTCTTTTTCAGCCTTGCCATTGCCCATGCAAGTTTCCAAACCATCCTACCATCCTATCGATGGATGTGGAAGCCAAAGATCCAAGTTCAAATGATCTCCTACGATTGGTACTGGTACCACGGTACCGGTACTCCGAGTAATCAGATTGAGGGCTTGAATGATTTGATTGAATCCATGCACCAATCATTCATGTGTTCCTCTCTAAATTGAACAGTATTTACAGCTTTGCTGCTTTGTGTATTAGCTCCAACCTTGGATCCAAGTGTTCGGAGAGCTTTATCGGCTTTGCTGTTTTAAAACTTTAAGACAGGAGAGCCGCCACAGCATCCAGGAGCTATCGTGAACGTTACCGGTATCCAGAGTCAAGAAGTAGCATTGGGCCGCCAGAAGTCTCCAGGCTAAGAAAAGTTGCAGCCACCCTTCACTTTCTCAACCATCACTAGCTAGCTAGCTCGCTACGGCTGTAGTGCTCCTGACCGTGACTTCCACAGGATTTTCCTTTTGCTAGAATAGAATTGTTGCCGTGGCTCCTGCTTGGGACATAGCATAGCCTTCGCAGCTCTTCGAACTGTTGTACGGCTGCAAGGCACTAATCAGACCTCGTAAAAGTCCTTGTTGCCCAGCTCTTACTGGTACAGAATGCACTACGCTAAAAGCTAGTGTAAAGATCTTTCGAGTGTTTTGAGTTTGAGAGAATGAAAGTTATAAGAGAGATTAGAAAGCTACGAAAACTAATCCATGAGAGAGATCGTTGTGAAGCTCATTGAAGTTGGTCTCCCGCGGGAGGCCTCGAAGTGTGATATCGTAGGTTATGGCAATAACTCTACGTACTCCACGGTCCATTTCCGGAACACGTGGAAACTTCAGCTAGTAGCTGTCTAGTAGCGTGGAAGCTTTCACGCCGGCTAAATATCTAGGCGATGTTTCATCGACAAACCTAGTATGATAGCAGTCATGAGAACCCTGTCTCAATGACATTCGCGAAGGACTACGTCATGAGTCGAACTCAAACCCTATCTAGGATCGAGTCGCGAATAAGGCTAAGAGCCGTGTATTGCATTCGCCCCCTGACAAGGGTCACAGAAGGCGCGACATCAGTCGGACAAGGAGAACATATGAATTAAAGTGCGGGGCACTCTCCGGAGATTGGATGTAGACATGTGCGTCGCACGATGGCAATCCTACAAGGAGATCAGGCCTTGTATGGGTGTAAATACCTTATGTTCCAAGTCTGGTAGACTGTGCCGCCATTGGCGGTAGCATGTCGGAGCCGTACGGTGCCATTGTTATTGACTCGGTCTTTATTGTAAGGACATTTGTACTTTGGCTGACCGTACTTGCGGTGCTGATACTGTTGAAACCTCACAGTATCGTTGACATTGTATTGATGAGGGATACGCATCGCGTTTCCCTTCTCATTGTTTTTCTGGATGAGTCGTTGGCGACGTTCTTTTGATGTGTTTCCAGTTTACTTCGAAACGGACGTTGTGAATCGCGTCACGATTGAACACGTGTGGTAATGAACTTGCGACGAAGTCCATATGCATCCCGGAGAGTCTTCTCGACTTCTGCGCGGAACTCACGTTCTCTATCCATGATAACCTCAGCAGGCCATGGATACTGGGTGAGCCACGTCTGTTCTAGAACTATGGCTACTTCGTCTGCTGCATTGGAGCAGATCTCGGCAATCTCAAACCATTCGGTTATGGGATCAATCATTGTCAAGCAATGAAATGGACAGGGATTCCTTTTCTTGGGATCCTCGACGTTATATGTACATGTGATCTTCTGATCCATATGTCTCGATAGTAGTTCACTAGTCCAATGAATCTACCAAGCTTCCTGTTCGTAGGAGGAGCGATATTCTGGATCGCGTCTATTTTCTTGGTTACGGGTGGATTCCTTCTCAAGTAATCCAGTAGCCTAGATATTCAAGTTCTCTTCTTTCGAAGAAGGACTTGGTAGTATTGATCTTAAGTCCGGCTTCTCGAAGCCTTTAGGAGAACTTCATCTAACTATTCAACGTGATCCACTAGATCGCCGTTAGTTAGGATGAGTTGATCATCAATGTATGCACGGACATTTTCCAAGTCGTGCATGAGTGTTCCCATCTTCCTTTGGAAGATGTCGGGACTATTGCATAGGCCCATTGGTACTCGCTGGTACTCGTATTTCCTGAATCTGTCTAGATTCAGTAGCATGTCTTGTATCCTTGGGATCGGATGAGGTTTTTGCTCAATCCTTTTGTTCAGTTCCCGGACGTCAGAGATGAACCGTATAGATCCATTCTTTTTGGGAATGATAAATGTTGGTGCCGTCCACTCGGAACGGTTTACCGTCTTAAGTGCTCCTGCGTCGCAGAGACGTTCGACCTCTGTCGTAAGAGTGTTGGTATGGACACGTGGAGTAGGGTAAGTCCTAGTGTGATAGGGTTTAGCGTCAGGACGAAGTTCTACTTCGTAGTCGTCCATTTGTCGCTTTCCTAAAGTACCTTCGAATTGGTCGGAGCACTTGGTCCATAAGGCATGAAGCGGTTCCTGCTCTTCCTTAGGATTGCTATCTTTCATAGGGAAAGATGTGCTATTCCACTTCGCTGACGGGGTAGTGAAATCGAACTTGATTCTTAGATCGGAGAGAAAGTCTCGACCTATGATCATGTCATACGCCCCCAAGTTCTTGGTGGCGTGCAAGTTCCATTCGATAATTCTATCATCGTGGAACTCAGGAGTTATAAGTGCACCCTTACACTTCGTGCTGGGGTTTAATTCCTTTACAGGGGTAGTCCATAGTGTTTGGACGCCCCCATGATCCTTCATGCTTAATCTCTTAACATGAATTTGGGTAATCACGGTTCCGGACGCTCCTGTATCCAGTAAGCAACGGAGTGTAACGGGTTTTTGTTTCCCTTTCTCTCGTCTGTTAAATCTAACATAGACGATAGTTTTTGAGGTCTCTTGTCTTGCGACGTGACGAGGTGTTTGGCCACGACGAGGTTGACAATGCTGGATAGATCGTCAGAATCTAGTTGAGCAGCTTCTAGGCAATTATCTAATTTGCCGTAGAGTCATGTTGCAAACAATTCTTGTTTACTAGTTAGTGAGATATCTTCATCACTTAGGTATGAGAAATCGGAACATGGTTCCGTTGAATCATCATCCTGGCCTAATCCTCAGACGGAGATCTCTCCATCTGAATGATTGAAGTCGAAGTCCGGC